CACACACACACACAATCTATGTAATATTTCCTCCTATTCTATTTATAAGGTATGAGGATTTTTTTATCTTATTTATAAGTCATGTCATTAAATTTTATTATAATTTTTTTTGACCTTTCAGTAAATATTAGCAAGAGAAGTATATTATCAAAGTATATATTCTTATAATGATATAGTTAAAAACTTATTAAATTTTTAGATAAAGTTAATACATTTTAAGATATTTCTTAATTCTAATAAAACATGTTAAAAATGGCTTATAAATAAAATTAAAGACATATTAATTAGTATATGTGTCCTTATTAACATATTTATGTAAAAAAAACAAAAATTTTGTTACTCTATAAAATAAATGATATTTCCTTCATTCAAAAATATAAGATATTTTTAATCAAATATTACCCCAATAAATTAGTTATTTATTTTTAAACTAACCTATATTTTCATATTTACTTTTATTTAATAGGGTGTTTTACCCTAAAATAAATATAAAGTAATTTATAAAATAGGAGCATTTTTTTTAAAAAAAAGTAATGATTACACTTTAAAAAATTAAAAATATCTTATATTTTTTAACATTTAACCCTCAAAAAATACTTTATAATTTTAAATGAAGACAGTAATAAATATTTATAAGAAAAAATTATTCTCGGAACTCATAAAGCAATCTAAACAAAAAAACCCATAAAATGATAAAATTATTTTGAATTTCTATATCTTTATTGAAGTTGTCACTTTGTTATATTAAAATTATCAATTACTATTGAATAATTAATAGTAAAATTGTTAAGTTAACAACTAAGTAATAATAATTAACAACTATCTAACATAAATTTATAATTTTAGCAAGCTCGACGTAGAGTAATTATTTGTCTTAATAAAATTTTTATTTATTTAGATTAATTATGTGACATTTGAGAGTGACTCTTCCCTATTTTTATCATAAATATTTCTTTTTTTATTTAAATAATTTAGAAACACTTGTTATATATATATATATATATATATTAAAGTTTGTACATTGGTTTATAATTTTATAAAATTTGAAGATCTGTCCTTTTTTTTATACCATGAAAATTATTTTAGAAAATAAATTATAAAAAAATAAAAAATCAAATTAACAATATATCCATATGTATGCATTTTTTTGGGGAAAAAAATTGACCCTTCATCAACCTGAAGGCTAAATTAATACTTACGTTCATTGTTTTTAAAACCGGACCGGACCGGCTGGTCCGACCGGTGAACCGGTGACCCGGCCATGTGTCCGGTCCGGTTTTCTTTTTATTTTGTTTTCAGTTAACCCGGGTGATCTGGAATTAACCCGGATTAACCCGCCCAACCCCTCGGTTCAGGCGGGTTGGGCGGGTTGAAATTAAAAAAAAATTAATAATGATTAATTAAGATATATATTTATTTTTAACATGATAATGATTAATGATAGGTTAATATGAGTCATAGGGTCAAAAAAATATACTTATGTCAGACAAGGGGATGAAAGAAGTAAAAAGAAATCAAAAAGTATAAATATATATTATATTATATTATTTTTTAATTTAAATTATTTAATTAAATAATTTTTAAAATATATCACTTTCATTTATTATCTTTTATTTTAAAATAAATTTTTATTTCTATTATTTTAACTCATTGAAATTTTTTTATCATTTAGTTAACCTTATTTTAAAAAAATATAGAAATGTTGTTATACTTTATTATTGTTAGAATTATTGTTATATGTTATATGAGATATTAAGACTTGGATATGTATGAACGTATTGAGAATTAATACATTTTTTATTTAAATTATATTATTTTATTATGATCGGTCTGACTCCGGTTTGACCCCCGGTTGAATCAATGACTCTTGACCCCTGAGTTTGGCCGGTTCAATGACCGGTCCTGTTTCGGGACCTTGCTTACGTCCCAATATTAAATATGTGTCATGTCGTTCTCTCGTAATTTTTTCTGGGTCTCAGTTACATGATGAGGATGAAGATAAAATGGTGGATGGGAATCTCATGATTCATGAACCGCCCTGGCGAGGAGGATGGAAGGAGTGGATGAAGCTTATCCAAGGAAAAGCGTGTGGCTTGGGGGCTGTAGGGATTAGAGAATGAGAAACATTGGATCATGAAACAGCAGCACCGACCTGCCAGAGAGTTCGGCGCAGGCAATGAGTGGGTGTGATGTGGAGATGACTCAGCCCGTCTGCCCAAATACGCCCCACCCACGTCTTCTGTCTCCCTCCATCCTCACCCTCTCCTTCCTCTCGTGGTTCCCATTCTCCACACTTCTCTTCCCTCCTCTTCTTTTTCTTCCCTCTCATTATTATCTTTCCTTTTATTTTATCTTCTTTCATCCTCATACGTCATCCATTTCACATCCATTCTATCAAAATAACATTTTTTATATTATTATTTTTAATAATTTTATTTTTATAATAAAATATCTCTTTAATATTTTATTTTTTATTATTATCAATGATAAAATAAATTTATATTTATATTCATATATTATATCACTTTTTTGTTGGATTGAAATCGAAAATCATGATGTGATGCATCATGTTGGGATTTTTGTTTAGAAAAATTTCAATCAGGAACCCTTAATTTAACATAATAAAAAATAAAATTTTAAAATTTTTAAAATTTTACCACAAGATTTTGTGTGAAATTTCTTTTAAATTTGTGAGGAAAATAAAAAATTGCTCTTGTTTAAATTAATACTTTTTTGTTGGATAGAAATCGAAAATCATGATGTGATGCATCATGTTGGGATTTTTGTTTAAATGATAAAATAAATTTATATTTATATTCATATATTATATCACTTTTTGGTTGGATAGAAATCGAAAATCATGATGTGATGCATCATGTTGGGATTTTTGTTTGAAAAAAATTTCAAGCAGGGACCCTTAATTTAATATAATAAAAAAGAAGGGTTCAAAATTTTTAAAATTTTACTCCAAGACTTCATATGAAATTTCTTTTAAATTTGTGAAGAAAATAAAAAATTACTCTCATTTAAATGAATAACATATCATAGATAATAAGACTTATTCATTCTCATACTGTATATTATTCATTTACTTATGAAATACTATTCGTTTTCCTACTTTATTTGTTTAAGGATAACATTTCATAAATAAATAAACAACATACAATATGAGAATGAACAAATTATTTTATCATGAAACATTTAAAATAAAATCAAGTAAAACTAGGGCTATAAACAAGTAACATTAAATAATTAATAATATTTTGTAAGTAAATAAACAATATATAGTATGAAAATGAACAAATCATCTTACCTAAAATATATTGTTCATTAAAATGAGGGTAATTTTTTTATTTCTATCATAAATTTAATTTCAATTTCTTATGAATCTTTTAGTAAAATTTTAAAAATTTTACAGTCCTCTGTTTTAATATGTTTGGTTAAAGGTCCTTATCTAAAATTTTTATTTTATGTTTCTTTCTTTCATTATGTGCCATCCAAAACGTCCCTCACTTTTTCCTCCGTCAGCCTTCTCATCCCACATGCCCATCCACTTATTGAACAAATCCCTCATTTCACCGATTTTATCCATTCAATTAAGTTCACTTATCCTATCTCAACTTACTTTCTCATCTCATGACCATGCATGCAACTCCATCTTTTTTCATGAATGTGTAATTAACCTGTATTCCTCAAACGCCTTCTCATATTTATTCCATGTTTTAATTATATCAGTTTTTATAATGGAAAATGGATATACACAAATACAACTCATTTAATAATAGTAGTAGTAGTAATAATAAACAACATATCAAATTGAGCGCTTGTTTAGGATTCCATTTATTTGACTTAAACTAATACTTTTTTTGGATCAAAATATAGGACATTAGTGATTAAGTCACAGTTCTCAAAATATATTAGTTCAAATCTTAATTTCTTAAAAAAATTTACATCTTTACAATTTTACCTTCATTAAATATCTTATAAAATTGCTTTGATAATGATAAGTAAAATTTCAATGCATCATTTAAAAAAAAGTAATAAATGAATGGAGGGTATAATTAAAAATAATTATAAATGTTACCCAATGCCCTATATTTTGAATTAAATAAGTTAAATTTTTAAAAGATGTCCTATATTGTAATTCGGAAGGAGTAATTTGTAGGTTTAAAAGCTAGTTAAAGGTGAAAAAAAAAATATATGTTTGAATAAAAGTAGTTGGCAAATGAGTTTTTATCTTCCAACTATAGTTAGGTAAAAAGTTAAATTTTGAAACATTTATATTAATTACGTTGAAATCTAACCATTAATAGCACTTAATACATTTTAAATTCATTGAATAACCCATTTATCCTTTTACATTTCCTCTTGAAATTTGATATTTTTATTATTTATAAATTTAACATTTTTCTTATTTCTAATATATATTCTTTAAATAAATCTAATTAAGTTTTTCAGTATTTAAAAATATTTACTGCATCAATACATTAACTCTTTTATTTTATAATTAAAATTTAATTTTAATTTTTTTTTCAATTTATCAAATTACATATTTGTATATATGTGTGAGAGAGAGACATACAACCCAAATCCTTTTTAGGTTTTTTTTTTTACCGGCCCATATGCTTTTTGATTATTATATATTTAAACTTATTTCTTAATTATATTATTCAAAATAAGTTTTAATTTGTTAAATTAACTTTTTACGTAGGAATATTTAAATATAAACCATAAAACAACAGTTAGCTTTTAACCCCAACTTCGTCTTACAAACTGTACTCTATGTAAAATACACGTAACCCACAGCATGATTTGTGTGCTGAATCCGAGGTTTGCCTGGTCCGTTGTATTGCATAATTATATGCGGCTGAACTTCGGCCTCCTATCGCACCGACACGTGGCGCATCCTTTGTTGAGCGCTTTTCTTCTTTCTTGGTCCCTGCCAAAAATCGTGTCTCGTTTTCCTCCTTTATATACCCGGCCTTCCCCGCCTCAATTTGCCTCAACCCAGAATCTCTCATCACCTACTATCATTCTTTATCCCTTTTTTGGCTCTGATTCTCCCGCACTATTTTCGTTACTTATCCTTGGCTTGAAATTCTGTTGCTCCCCCCCTTTCTTTCTTTTCTTTTTGCCCCGCCGGATAGCTGAGAATTTCGATTTCGTTTCTGGCTATGGAGGCTTCGGCGATTGGAAGCTCTCAAGCTAAGCTCAGAAAATCTGAACTTGCTTATAGGGAAGTGCGCTTCTGTTATCTGAAGGATTCTTTCGGGCTTTCGAATTCTAGGATTTGTTTTGATCGGAGTCCCGCATGGAAGAAGGCCGGGATGCGCTTGACTGTGAGAGCTTTTCAATTTGAAGCCGTTCGCGAGGAGAGTCGCTCTCCTTCTGCCAAAACGTCTAAATCGGTGAGTTTTCTTCTCCGGAAATTTCATATCATTGCTTGTTGCGTTTGGTTGCTGGGGGAAGAATTGGGAAACTAGTGGAATTCAGATTTTCTTTGCTTTATTTTAATTGTTCTGGATTGTGGTTTAGCTTGAAGCTTTGAATGGAATATATATTTGCGTTAGAATTTTTCAAAATTAGCTCTAAAAAACAAAGGCTCAAATATCTATTTCATCTTACATTTGTCCCTGTTTTGCGCGCGGTTCTTCTGAGTACTGACGTTCCTTTAGATAATGCATTACTATCATTCCTGGAAGGTTCTTTGAAGGACAAATATAAAATTGTTTTCTCATGATTTTTTAAAAATAAAAGGATATATTTATGATATTCTTCTTTAAAAAATCATAAAAAATATAAATTTTTACCATTAATATTAATATATTCAAATGTCTTTTATTTTATGTAGAAATCAATAATTTAAAAAAAAATAAAAAATGAAATTAAAAAGTTAGGGTATTAAAGAAGGACACATTAAAAATCTCCTAACCCGGTTATATGTGGACATAGCATTTCCCTCTCAAAATTAATTGGATTCTCTGTTGACTATAATCACGTACTCAGTAAAATATATTTAATACTTCAATATTGCCTCTTTCAAATCTTTAGCTGGATTTATACCAAATAAACCAAGTTCTGTCTAAATGAAATAACTCTATCCGGTGTCATGCCAGTAAAAAGAAACTAACGTGCTTGAAATATGGTGGTGCAGCTGAATGATGTCAGGTTATTTGTGGGGTTGCCCCTCGATGCCGTTTCTTCTGACTGTAGTTCAGTAAACCATGCTAGGGCAATTGCAGCTGGTCTGAAGGCTTTGAAGCTATTAGGAGTTGAAGGTGTTGAACTTCCAATTTGGTGGGGTATTGTTGAGAAAGACTGCATGGGAAAATATGAATGGTCAGGTTATCTTGCTATTGCCGAGATGGTTCAGAATGCAGGTCTCAAGCTCCATGTGACGCTTTGCTTTAATGGATCTAAAACACCAAGCATCCCACTACCCAAGTGGGTGTCTCAGATTGGTGATTCGGAGCCAGGCATTTTCTTTACGGATCGATCAGGACAGCGGTACAAGGGATGTTTGTCATTCGCAGTTGATGAACTTCCGGTTTTCAATGGGAAAACTGCAGCGCAGGTCTACCAGGGCTTCTGTGAGAGCTTTAAATCTTCGTTTGCTCATTTTATGGGCTCTACAATTACGGTAAGAAATTTGAATTCTGCGACAAATTTGTACGCTCTCAGCATACAGCTTATTGTTGTTGTATATGACTGACGAAGTCTTTTCATCTCTTGTAGGGAATTTCCATGGGTTTAGGACCAGAAGCGGAGCTACGCTATCCATCTCACCACAAGCTACCAAATATCCATGGAGTTGGAGAATTCCAGTGTTATGACAAAAACATGCTTTGCCTTCTCAAAAAACATGCTGAAGCATCAGGAAACCCTCTGTGGGGGCTTGGTGGTCCCCATGATGCCCCTAACTATCGCCAGTCACCAAACTCTGGCGGCTTTTTCACTGATGGTGGCTCATGGGAGTCTCCTTATGGGAACTTTTTCCTTTCCTGGTATTCTGATATGCTTGTAGCTCATGGTGATCGCCTCCTTTCTATAGCAGCCACAACTTTTGACTGCCAAGTTTCAGTATACGGCAAAATTCCACTAATGCACTCTTGGTACAGAACCCGATCTCATCCTTCTGAGCTAACTGCAGGCTTCTATAACACACAGAACAGAGATGGTTACGAAGCAGTTGCAAATATGTTTGCTAAGAACTCATGTAAGATGATATGTCCTGGAATGGACCTGTCAGATGCAAACCAGCCACATGAAACCCTCTCAAGTCCTGAGTTATTGCTTGCTCAGATTATGGCAGCTTGCAGGAAGCACGGGGTCAAGGTTTCGGGGCAAAATGCGGGTGCTGGAGCTCCAGAAGATTTTGAACAGATCAAGAGAAATTTGTCCGGAGATAATGTGTTGGACTTGTTCACATATAATAGAATGGGGGCTCACTTCTTTTCGCCCGAACATTTTCCTTCGTTCACCAAGTTTGTTCAGAGCCTTAATCAACTAGAATTGCATACAGATGATCTACCTGCTGAAGATGAAGAAGCCGCTGAATCCTTAGTGAACAGCTCAGAATCAAGCAAGCAGTTGCAAGCGGCCTAAAAGTGATTAATTGGTATTTGTGATTATCATGTATATAACAATCTGTTGCGCCATTGCTTAAGAACAGGTTTTCTTTATATTGCAAACAGGATGCATAATGACATCCTCGATTACATAGCCACTGCTATAGACTTTTTACCTCTCTCTCTCTCAATTAGGGGCTATGGTATCAAATCTTATCGAGTGAAAAAGAGATAGGAACAAAGGAGTATCCCGCTTGTTATACATATTGAATCGCAAGAGAATTTTACAATTTCAAGGGAGAGTCCATTGTCTTGAAATCCTTGTTTTATGTGCATGATGAGTTCAACAAGTTCGCTTATGAATTCGCTTCCCTGGAAACATAGAAATGAGCAATATCCTAATCTTGAATTGAGATTTTTTTTTTTGGGTATTTCCTTCAAAGTAATGATTAAGGATTAGTTTAGATTGGGCCAAAAAAAAAAAAAAGGAGAAAAATTGAGGAGAGAATACTATGAAAAAAGGTTAAAAATAGTAAATAGTTTTATTGTTTTTAAGGTTTTTTTTTTCCTTCTAGTATTCTTTATTTTCTAATTTTCTTTCCATCCAAGTCAAAAATAAATAATGATATATAATTTTTTTTTAATTTTACCCTTAACCTAATTCTTTTCCATAGGAAAGAGAGATATGATCACTCACACGTGTGCACAAACATGTCAATATGATAATAGCTTCAAATGCTTAAAATAGGCTCGTGGCCCATAATTTACCGTATTTACTTTAGAAAAAAAATACAATTAATAATTTCTATAATTTTATGAAGTTTTGCTTTTAGTTTCTATATTCTTTTTTTCCAATATGAAAACTGAAAATATGGAAACTCGATTATAAAATGTCATCCAATCTTATTAAAATTATGAGGATTTATGATTGTGTTTTCCTTTTTTCTTCATCTCATTATATGTAACAGTCTTAACTCCGAAATGATGATATTTGTTTCTTCTAGGAAGAAACAGCTTCTCATGAGTCATGAACCTTCTTGTTGACTTATCAGGTATCGCAAAGGATGGCATGGCAACTGTCTATCGTAGCTAACAGAGGTGTTAAATGAATTGTTTGGATGCTCCATTTCGACTGAAGATTTTGTTTCTTTTTTGCCCTTTTCTTCTTATCAATTAACACACACACACACACACACAATACTTTTTTCAGACTTGAACAGTCAAATCAATGATTTCGAAAGTGAGCTCTAGCTTGAAATAAGCGTATATATACCTCTGTTAACAATAGACCAGAAATAGTATTATCAAACATATAAAAGAAGTTTGAGGATCGAAAATTATTTTAATGACTTTAGTGTTTTGTCATTTTTGATGATATGCCCCTAAAAAAATTAAATATTGTAATTTGTAATTCTGGGATTTGTGAAAAGACAGAAATTAAAAATCATTATAATATTTTAATTGTATGCTAGGAAGTTATGTTTCATGAGTAAGAAACTAGCAAGATAACCTTGTCAAATACACAATTGTGAACATCTATGCTTTTTATAATGACAGACAACTAACGTATATAAAATCAAACCTCAATTTTTTCTATTGTGAAATTGTCGGAGAGTTCTAAAAATCTCTATGTTAAGGAACAGGATACATCAAAAGCTCAACAATGTTGTAAAACGTTGGCCATAAGAAAAGCAATGTTGTAACTATAAAAGCTCGTTGTTCTATGTACTAAAGTGAATAGGATACATATGAGGAAGCTAAGAAAAGTTTCAAATTACTTCCTACCAAAACTATGCAGCCACAGATGCATGAACAAGAAGAAACAGTAATCAACTGGCAATCTGCAAAACTGTACAAGGAAGCAACACTACCAGAAAAATTAGACTCTTAACGCAGACACATCATCTCTGCTATAAATTCTAAAAATAAATAAATAAATAAATCTAATTCAGTCCTAAAACACTTCCCAGACATCGCTTATAACAGCATATGGTACTAACTGTTGAAACATGCATCATTCACGAGCAATTTTGGTTTCAAAGCTGCTGAGGCAAATTGCAAAAGCCTGAAATGCAGAGATGGGGTATTGATAGTCCATTGTGAACAAATCCTTCCCTACTTTTCCAAATTGCAGGATTATCTTCTCATGTTCTGCTTCAGAAATAGGTCCATTCTCTGGGGAAGCCACCAGCTGAAAGTTCTTAACTGAAGCAACTGTCACTCGTCCATTGAAGTTCAAGCACCAACATTGGAGCTGCTCGTGCCATCTTGGAGGCTTACTTTTTAGCACGAGCATCCTATCACTGGCCAGAGGCCCAGATTTAGAGTTTTCAATTCGATTTGATTTTGACCTTAAAAATGGGAATAATGGGACTTTTTTTACATAGCTCGGAGACAACTCAGTCTGCATCGGTTGTCTCACCCCTCCGGGTTGAATTGCAGGGGCAGGAATGGTGTCCATGATACATTTCATTTTCCTTGGACCCCTGTTTGGCGCATTACAAGAAGCTGGTAAGTATTGCATCGTCTGTAAATTGGAAAAAATTACAAATTCAAGTAGTTATTCTTCTCAAAAGTAATAGGGTTAAAAATACATGCAAGGACAACTATAGTGTGACAACTCCTTCCAAGGACACGAAAACCTCAATATCAACTTGTAACATTTGATGTTTACCTGGAACCTAGCACATTTAATTCATATAAGACGTGTGCCACTGGATAGTTACCAGTAGAAGCCCTGCCAAACAGATTCCCCAGTCTAACGGAACGGCTTTTTGTAGTCTTTGCCTCTTTGTGAGGTGGCTGGCCATCATAAATTGTGAACTTTGTTCCCAGAAAATTTGATCTTATCAAAGTAATCAAAGGTGTAAGTCTTAGCATAGAAATGAATAAAAAATAATAATTCCTCCAATCCTATTTACAAGACATTTTAACTTAATCACAGATACCAAGATGGGCGGTTAAAATTAGTTAAGAGTATGAATTTTTTTTTCCAAAAATTACTATAACATTCCCAAATTATTCTTAATTAAGACTATTGACCTTTATCTTTGAACTTTAAAGTAAAACATGTCACACAAATTAACCAATTAGATACGTGTGCATTTTTAAAAATGACTTAAATGCTTCACTAAATTTTATAAAGTACTCCATCTATCTCTATATATAAGTTGTTTTTCATAAGCTTGTTTTGTTCTTAAATATAAAGTGTGTCATAATAATTTTTTGAGTAATTGAACAATTTTGCCTTTGTCCTAAAAAGAGGAAGAGATATTAATTAAATACTTTACCCACCACAATAATATTAATAATTTATATGTTTATTAGGGGCAAAACTTGAAAATTGTTACTCTTTCCGTTCAAAAATGTAAGACATTTTTTTAAGGAGTTGGATATTTAAAAATATAAGGCATTTTTACTCTTTTGAGATATAATAATTGCTTTTTTTTTCAAAGGTATTCTTATTAATAATGACTTTATATTTATTGCAAGGTGTTTAATAGAAGTAAACATATGAAAATACAGGGTTAGTTTAAAAGTAGATAACAACTTTATTGGAAGGTGAGATTTAATTAAAAATGTCTTACATTTTTTAACAAAGGGAATATAATTTTATGAGTTTTTAACTAAATAACAAAATTTTATTAATATGTAAAATTTGATCAAAAATATCTTATATATAAAAATGGAGGGAGTATCTTATATTAACAATCAAATAAAACTATAAAAAAGCGTCTCATACTAAAGACTTGAGAGAGTAATAGTGAAGTTGCTCAGTAAAGAGTGCAAGGTGCACCTCAGTTTCCCAACATAGGCGGCGTTGCTTTCCTTTGACATATCATCAGCATCTTGAGAGATTATATAATCTGTGCAAGTAGGACGTCTGCACTTGCGCGCTGCCAGAAGAAACTTTCCCTCATCACATAATGCTAGCCAATTGAAGAACACAAGGTCAGGATTAGAAGCTCTAGAACTTGAAAACAAGACCAAAGAATGAAGAAGAAAAAACAGCATCCTCCAAAATTTAACAGAAATAAGTGATCTAACAACATCTGCTGCAAAAGCCTAGTTTAACCATTCAAACCTTCATAAAATAAAAAGGGACTAAATTCTCACCATTTGTTAAACTGAGAAACAAATAATATGTTTGGGTTGACCTGTTATGCTTTATGAAGCATTGGAGGAGATTTTCCCTCGGGCCATGCTGTCAAAATTTATCAGAAATTATAACATGTTGAATATTGTACCTTGGAGGGCAGGAAAATAATAAATTAAATTGATGTCCTCATCACATGAAAGACAAGCACTATAATCACATCCAATCATTATAGCCTAAAACCAAGGGAATCTTAGAGTACTATCTCGAAGGGTAGGCAAACATTAAACTAAAGCATTCAATAAAAAGGAGTCACGATCTGGTAGCCACTCAAATCTCAATTGGGTCCTTAGTTAGAGGTAATTATCATTTTTCTTCTCTTGCTCTGAATAATTGGACGCGTCCCAATGAAGGAGTCACTATAATTTAAATTTTCTATAATTATAATTTTATATATTCAATAATTAAATTAATTATTTTAATTAGTGCAGAATAGTCTTAATTTCATTTTCTATATTTTGACCAACACCATCTTAATTTTCTTAACAACATCATATTCAACGTAAAAAATCTTGCTTATCAGTAAATATCATTCACCCTCACCCACGGGGATTCTTTCAAGAGAAACTCAGAAAGGCGTTGAAATTGAAATCAGGCGTACTGCGAAAGAGATGTTAAAGAGGGAAAAATTTCTCCAGACAGTATATAGTCATCGAGCATGAACCTGCTTAACAGAGATGGGAAAGGTGATCTTAGAGGAAACGTCAGGTGAGTTGACGATGGCCTTCGTGATGAGCCTCCAAGTGCGGCACACTCCGGCACAAGCCACCACACTCCGACGGGCAGGCCAAGAGCTCTCGGATGCTTCGATTCTGGCCAGCACCTCTCTGAGAAGCTCCTGCGGCATGTTGGCCCAGAAACTCTGCTTCAGGCCATCGGCGATGACCACCTCCACGGAACCGTCCTGGACCACCCGACGGGACATGAAGGACCTCATATCATGAACTTCGAGAATGAAGACGAAGATAATACGCTAATTTCAGCGTTTCGGAAACACTCCCCACGAAAAGATGCTTTGTGGTGTACAATACCTTTTGCTCGGGAAATGCTAAATGGGACCAAAGCTGCTGTAACAGTGAGAGAGAGAGAGAGAGAGAGAGAGAGAGAGAGAGCGCTTGGTATTGTAACTAACTGAATAGCGATTTATGGATGAGAAGGAAGGCAGGCTGGGGGGGGGGGGTGGGTTTCATGGGATTTCATGTTCATTATTTATAGCTGTTCATATTGCATGCCCATACACAGTCATGGTAAAACTATCATCATCTCTAGCTTAAATACTCATGCTTATAATTAATAATTTTTAAATTAGAAGTTTATTTTCTTAAAAAATCATAGTTAAAAAATTATCTTTATTTTATATTCTATCTATACAAAAATACAAGTTGTTAAAAAAGTTAATTATGATCATCTAATTTCAAGTTGATGGTTCAGATTGGTGGTGGTGAGCACCAGAATTGCTACCCATTATTAGGTAGTACGTATTATTCTTAAATTTCTAAACCAAAAAAAAAAAGATTTCTCTTCTTTTGTTTGAAAGGATGATGCTAACTGATGCAAAATATATATTGGCACATTATATTTTCGTTAAAGATTTTTTTTTTTAGTAAAACAAGGGAGAGGAAGATTAAAGAAAAACTTTTAATTACTTCAGTTTCTGCCATTTTGACATTCCTAATTTTTCTCTCTCCGTGCGTTCAATATACAAGATTCATGTTAATGTATATTACAAGACTGGGAAAGTGGTTAGTTGTTGTTATTGTTTTTTTTTTAAACATAATTTTTTATCCTTATAATTTTATTAAATTTTTTTAAATTCTTGTAAATTTTTTTTCAGTGTTTTCAGTTTTTATAGGGATTTAAAAAACAAATATTACTTAATTTTTAAAACTATAAAAATTAAAAATATAAAAAAATTATAAAGACTAAAAATAAAATTTGATGAAATTATAAAAATTGATTATTGTGTTTCAAGTTTGGTATATCTTTTTTAAAAGTTGTTTGGTTCCTTTCATGTCTTAACTCAGAAGAAACCACAAGAAATTAAACGAAAGTGAGTTGAGGATAAAGGACCACATCCACATTTGTCAACAAAGCCCGGTATCTATGAGGTGATTTTATTAGTGAGTGATTTATAAATATTTTTGTAAATGTTTTTTGAGCCTCTTTCAATGAGCTCCTCATAGAAGTGAGAATTTAAGCAGATCAAGCTTATTTAGGCTCAGCTCGAATGAGCTTAACTCTCATAAATATTCAAATGCCCAAACCCGATCCAAACTTTATTTTTAAAATTATTTTTAATTAAATATTTGACGTTGAAATTAATTATTTTTTACAAAAATATAAAATATATTTTGGATACTTAAAATATTTATAGACTCTTTTTTCTAAAAAAATTTCTGGTCTTAAAATCTAAAAATTAATATTAAAATATATTTTAAATATTATTTTAAAACATCTTATAGATTGAAAATAATAAAAATATGACAATATAAATATTTTTTATTTAAAAAAAATATATAGTAATGCATTCAAATATATGATATTTTAGTATAAAATGACCTAAAATTTAAAGAATTAATTAAAATTTATTATATTTTATATATTTTTTAAAATTATAATCTTTTTATTTAGGTATTTGGGCCAAGTCTGAACTTGATTAGGTTTGGCTTAAATTTTTTCAGGCCTATTTGAAACATCAAAAAATTATTATTTTGTTAAGCCCAACCCTAAATTTTTTCAAACAAATTTAGGATGACCCATCGAACTTGCCTCGAATTATCAATTATAGCCCCTAAAACCCAATTTACCTAAACTTTTATTAAAAAAAATTAAAGTTAGCAAATCTCTAAGGAAAACTGATTTGACAATTACTAATGTAGTTTAATTTACTTAGACAATTACATTTGGTTTGGGGGAGGGAAGGAATTTTAATGGAGATGAGACAAGGTGAGGGGGGAAGGGAGGAATCCCTCTAAATTCCTCCAATTTGGAGGGAAAGGGAGAAAAATTTTTAATCTTCTCTCTTGCATTATAATATTGCCAAACAAGAAAAAAAAAAACCCCTCCTCTTGTCCCATCCAAATAAAATAAGGGAAATTTTTCCTCTCCTCTGACCAAAGAGGGGTAAAGATAGTGGTGAATAACAATAAATTAAAGTATTATTTGGGCTAAAATTGAAACGTCACTTGCCAAGAGTCATAACATAAAATGGGCTGAGCAACTGAAGATTCAAGCCCAATAAGCGATCCAAACAATAAGGCCAGTTTAGGCCATAATAGAATAACTTGATCAGATAAGCATGAGTCCATGAATCCCTTAAGTCTCGGAGCCACTGTTTAGATCGTTGTGATACATAAAACCATAACTTCAATAGGCCTCGAGTCTTGCAAAGACATGACTATTACTCATGAGAATCTTAAAGATATAAGCTAGCAGTCAACAATAGAACACGTGATAAGAAGAAGGATCATGCTATAAATCTTGCGGACCATGTGTATTGAATCCTTGATATTTTACAAATAAGTTCCAAATTTTGTGGGAACAATTGTCCCAACCAAAATGCTATAAAAGGAGGAGAAGGTCACAACTAAAAAGGGACGACAACATATATCCAAACAATAAAATCTTTCATATTTATAGTTTTTAGATTTATCAGATAGCTTTTTTCTTATAGTTGTTACTTTCATTTTCAGCTTTGTAGTCTTTTTCATTTTGTAATCCTTTATCACTGATCAAATATTTGTTATTCCAACTCTTGTGTATCTTTTACATTCAAGTAAATTGTGATAAAAGAGCCCAAAAATCCCTTTGTTATCAATTGAGACTTAGTGTTTCTAGTATGCCTAGTAATTTTATTGTTTTTGACAAACAATAATATTTAATTCTTTAACTTCACATAAAATTTCATTTTGATCTCTTAATTTTATATTTTTTTTAATTTTTTAACTCTAACACTATTAGTTTCCTTACAAAAAATTTATTTATCAAACTTTTAATTATTGACAATACATTTTCAAATATTGATATATTAAATTTATGATTTAAAAATAACAATAATTGATGTAAACAATAATTATTTGAAACTAACAATGTTTGGCAAAGGATTAAAGGAGGTTGGCTAATAGCCTAGACTAGCTTGTAATCTTTGTTGATTATGTTACACTTCTTCATTCAAAGAAAAAAATAATAATAATGAAGTTAAATGTTTGATAATTGAAAGAATATTTTACAAAATTAAGAGATCAAATTAAAATATTATATAAAGTTAGAAAATCAAAAGTAGACTTTAGCTATGGATAATATCTTTGGGAACAATTAATACAACATTATGCCAAATATTTAATTCTATGTGGTGTTTGTTAAATGAATTTACATACTATAAAGATTGGGGCATAAATATGTTGGTTTTTAAGACCAATATCTTTGTATTCAAGGATTTAGTCAATAACAAGTCCTAGCTCGTCAAACTTTTGCACTTTCAAGTGTAAATGAGTTAAGAATGAGGCTTTTTTATTTTTTTGATCTTTTGAATTATAAGAGTCACGATCTAACATCATATGTCACTAGGTGTTCCTGTACACCACAAAATGCTCTTTCTTAACCAGAGTTGAGGCCTAGTGGCATGTGATGTAATTCAGACTGTTGATAAGTTAAATGGTTCATCTAAGGGTGTGAAGGAATTATTTATTATTTTTCTGCACTAAATATTTACCTGTTACTGCTATTCTTGTTACTTTTTATTGGAGAATTAACCAATTTTTAGGGAAAATAAAAAAGGGTTCCACCTAAAAACATTTACCACCACGGAAGATGTGATCACGCATCTAATTGAATTGTTAAAATATGATAATATTGATAATATCCTACATATAAATAAATCCCTTGGATTCACATTTGATTCAACCTCAATTTGTAGTGCATAACTACTAAACTACAATTAAATAAAGGGTTCCAACATTTGCCAATCATTAAGGTAAAATGGTTCCCTCCCCCAAAATAGGTGACCCTCCACTAACCTCTTTGTTGATTTTGTTCTAATAATTTGAATGAAGCTCAGGACTTAATAATATTTAAGGTTCAAATTAGTTATGTCGGCCATGATAATTATCAACACTGAGCATTTGCCCGGGGGGTCCATCATGGCGTCAATTTCGGCACCATTCACTCTCGGCTAAAGCATTCTAATAAAGCTGTATCAGAATATCACAAGCGAAGCTGGAATCTTGTACTTAAATCATAGTATCAGGCTTAACAGTTCATTAACAAATCAGGGACATCATCATGGCAATGACGACATGAACCAAGCATCTGATCTCAGGGCATAATCATACAGGAAACAACTATTCCTAATTATTTCTAGAAATCCTGCATATTCTCAATGCAGGACATAATGCAACGTAAAATCGAAATGAATAGAGCAGCCATGCCAAAAAATTCAATTTAATAAGTGACAAAATTCCAAAAACTGTTGGCTTAATTTTGTTACATGAAGACTCAACAATAATAATAGATGTCAAGAAGAACTGTTATACAGAGGAGCCGGCAGGAAGGGAAATGGTGCGACAGAGGCATATGCAACAGGTGGGCGCGCTGGTGCTCCTTTCATGTGTCTCTCCTTTGTCTTTCTGGCAAAATTTTCGTCATTCTGAATTGAAGTTTCCATGGAAGATGAAGACTTTGCAGCACTGTCTGCCGTGAGCTGGTTATTGGAAACACGGTGAATTAGAAGCCCTGACATGAACACGGGAAGATAAAGGAGACTGGCATAAAACATTCTCCTGGCCTTTTCTTTGGTACGATCTCGACAGAATGAAAATGCTGAAGCCGTTATCGCAGCAGTGAGTACTAATGACTCCAGACAAAACCACCCAGAAGTCACACCCCCTGTAGACAAGTTCAGAATTTCCAAGTGTTAGGATTCTTCTAATCACCGAGCTCATATTAAATGCAATGCCGCACACTTGTGAGCAAGTTTTTTTTTTTTAAAAAAAAGAGTATCACTGGATGTCTTCTAAGACAATTCTAAAGAGCAATTTTTTCACAAATAAATTCAAGGTTTTGTGTTTGATGGCCAAAAAAAAAAAAAAAGCTAGGATTTGTGTTAAGTAAGCATTATGATTTTTCCATCAAATTGATTCAGAATCTAAAGTTGACGGAACTGATATGGATGAACATAGTCATGAACATTCAAGCCACAAGACAACTGGCAAACACATCAGTGACACGCTGCGGTGAATAGGGAGAATTTCACAAGGAAACTAACAAGGTCTGTTGCAAAAGTATGCAATCAATTGGAAATAGCTACTCACAATCATATGCCAAGAATCCCAAAGGGATCAGATAAATAGAGTTCCTCAACGCCACTGATGCAGTTCTCTGACCAGATGGGTCAGCAAGTGAGTACATCTTAAACCTGAGCTTATCACACATTAACTAATAAGTAGATGATATTGTATAGAGTATAGACCACCATCAAAACGTGGGAGCAGCAAAATGAAATCCATCTATGTCTAGCATTAAAAGAAATTTGAATGTCAATACAAATGTCCACTATTTGAGCGAATAAAATTTAGTGTAAAATACAATTCGCTCCCCTAAGAAATGTTTGAAAATTGGGTAAATTCTGACTTCAATAGAAGTTTTTGCATATTTTTCCAATAAATGGGAGGGTTGTGTACGATGGGCCTCTATTAGAGGAAGAAGAATAATTTACTCTAAAATTGAAGAATATACCAAATGGCATCAGCTTAGATGGCCATACACATGCAACTGAACACCAAATATGAATTACTAAGTTCCACTCTGGAATAAGCATTAGGAACAGAACAGGTAGTCCATGTAGAAAACATAAATTTCTTAATCAAGACAAGTCTTGAACAAAGGGAATCACCACATAAGCAAAAAGTGATTGAGGGAGGCATCAGAAAAGTTGCATAAACGATAACCTATCATAAAAAATAATTAAGTTCGAACATACCCTCCAGCAGCATAATCACTGCGGCACATGTATGCAAGGGCCATAAAATGAGGTATCTGCCAAAAATACAAAGCTGCTGGAAGAATTAATGCATTTAGTGAAACATCACCAGCAGCTGCTGCCCATCTGAAGACAAGATCACCAAAAAAAATGGTGAGGGGAAGAAGAAACCATGCACACATGTACTAGAACAGGATGAAAGAGGGTGAACAAGATGAAGGCAAAAACAACCAATTGGTGAGCTTTCATGCTCCATTTACTGATTAAATAGAGGTGTAAGAAAACTCCCAACAAAAAGCCAACTCAACACCTACTTTAACTTTATTTCTTTAATAAACATCTGTCATGAATTCTATCACCAAAACACGAACAAAACTGTCTTAAATTCAATTTTCAAACCACGTTTAGAAGAGCTGCAATCGTGCGCCTGAAAATTGACAATTGCCATGCATCAGTGAAACAAAAGAAAACTTGTAGAGAATTTACCCTAAAAGTGGTGGAATAGCACCAACAATAGCCCCCACCCAAGTATTCACGGGATGAATCTGCTTCAGTGGAGTATATACAAATGCATACAAAACAAGGTTGGAAGCTGCAAGCCCGGCAGCCAACATATTAGCCTGGAAAAACCTTGTCATAAAGCAGCATCATTAGTTGCTCAGTTAGCAGCATTCAAAAGGGTTATCCTAAGATGAAAAACTAAAAAAGACTGAATAATTTGGTTTTTCTACCTTTGTTGCTAACAGAGCCGTGCCTGCTAAACCAACAAATGAAGCCCAGTTGACTGCATGTGGTATTGAAATGCGCCCTGATGGTAGTGGCCTTTTACTTGTTCTCTTCATTTTGGCATCATTATTTATCTCAAACACCTAATAAGCCAAAATCATTGCATAGATTCAATGTCAACAAAGTATAAAAGGCAAAAGGTCCAACAAAAAGCAGGTTCAGACCAAAGCAAGTAAAATAACCACAGCAATATTACATGCTACTGATGGAAAGATAGAGTCTAACAAGGTTTAGTCTATCATAGATATTCTGCCATCATATATATATATATATCTGCTACCAATCCCTATCTTTACCATGTCTATGCCAAGAAAGTAACATGATATCACTGCAAGCAACAACAACAACAACAACAACAAACCTTTATCCCACTAGGTGGGGTCGGCTACATGGATTGCAAGACGCCATTGTGTTCTATCATTTATCAAGCTTTTAGGAATATTATTAATTAAGAGATCGCGTTCAACAACTTCCAAGAGTGTTCTCTTAGGCCTTCCTCTACCTCTCTTAATCGGACTCAAAGTTATATGTTCCACTCTTCTCACTGGTGCCTCCCTTGGTCTTCTTTGTACATGCCCAAACTATCTCAACCGATTTTCTACCATTTTTTCCTCAATAGGTGCCACCCTTACTTTTTCGCGTACGTGCTCATTTCGAATTTTATCTTTACGTGTATGTCCGCACATCCATCGTAACATTCTCATCTCTGCTGCTCCAACTTTATGCTCTTGCTGTCCCGTTAGAGCCCAGCATTCACTACTATATAACATTGCCGGTCTGATAGCAGTGTGATAAAACTTTCCTTTAAGTTTATTAGGTACCTTACGGTCACAAATAACTCCTTTAGCTTTTCTCCAATTAAACCACCCAGCTTGAACTCTATGTGAAATATCTCCACTGATTTCGCCATCATTTTGAATAATGGCTCCCAAATATCTAAACTTTTCCACTTAAGGTATAATTTGATCTCCCAATTTCACTTCCAAATTATTGTCGAATATTCCTTTACCAAATTTACAATATAAATATTCCGTCTTACTTCTACTCAGACGAAAACCTTTCGACTCCAATGTCCTCCTCCATAACTCAAGTTTACAATTAACCTCTTCTCTTGTCTCTGCTATAAGAACTATATCATCCGCGAAGAGCATACATTTCGGGATTTTCTCTTAAATATGTTCCGTCAAAACATTTAAAATCAAGTTGAACAAATAAGGAATCAGAGATGATCCCTGATGTAGTCCAATCTTTATAGGAAAATCCTTTGTTTGACCACTAGGTGTTCTTATACAAGTTTTTACCCCCTCATACATATCTTCTATGGCTTTAATATAAGCAATCCGTACTCCCTTTTTTTCCAACGCTTTCCAAAGCACTTCTCTTGGTATACGGTCATAAGCTTTTTCCAAATCAATAAAAACCATGTGTAGATCTTTATCTTTACAACGATATTTTTTCATTAATCCCCTTAGTAGATAAATCACCTCTGTAGTTGATCTACTTGGCATAAAACCAAATTGATTCTCAGAAATACTTGTCTCCAATCTCAACCTGTGCTCAATTACTTTCTCCCACAATTTCATTGTGTGGCTCATGAGTTTAATCCCTCTATAGTTAGTACAATTCTGAATATCTCCTTTATTTTTATAAATAGGAATTAATATACTTCTCCTCCACTCATCAGGCATTTTCTTAGATCGTAAAATCACATTAAATAACTTAGTTAACCATCTCACCCCTTCTTCACCTAAACAATTTATTCAAATCCCAATGTCTTGTACAGTTAATCGAGAATTGATAATGCAGATTCCCATCATTTCCATTTTCCATTTTATATGATATTATGATGAATTTGAGTGTGTCTTTTCCTGCATTCTTGTGCCTATTAAGTATACATATCCTATGCTGATTATGAATTTCATGGTATTAATCTTTCTGAGTCTCAAATCTTGGTATAAAGTACACCATGTGACAGAGTCTAAAGAAATGGTAAAGAAGGGAAGCAAACGAGACACAATACTTAATGCACTCTAGAGTAAGAAAATTATCCCTACAAACCAACCTGATTTAATGAGTTAGCAGACGCTGCAACCATCATGGTACCCATGCAAGTCCAACATAGTGCAGGAAAGTCAACAGCAGTGCTACTACCTAAGACAAATCCAGTCCCAGATGTTGCAACCACAAGCATGCTGAACCAATGTAAAAGGGGATAAGTTGAATTGCAAAAATATTGACCCATTTTTATCATCATAACTGCTACCAAACAATGAGAGTCTCATATACAGAGATGGAAAGATGCAGAAATTGATGAAAATTCCAAGGGGGCTGAAACAGGAGACATTGATCTTATACAAGGAAAATCAGATAAAAAACAGAAAAATTATGACTCAATTAAATTACAACTTACTCCAAAAACCAAACATCAACAAACAAATTAATATCAATTCACAATCAAAGTTTCAAAAACACAAGAAAGCCGAAAATTAAGATAATATCGATGAACCCAAAGAACTCCAATCATGATAAACATGTTCATTGTTTTGAAATAGACGCAAAGGATCCACTTAGTACATTATCACACATTTTGTGATATCTTGCATACCATGATATGGTATACCAAGGTATAACTTATAAGGTGCCATGGTAATTAATATTCTCATGTTTGGTATGACATATAAAAAATTATTATAGAAGGATGTAGTTGGTATTTATTTTTAAAAGCTACAATGCTAAAAAAAGTGTGATGAGAGATCTCCAAAGTTTAAGGGTGGTACGCATAATGGTGTTATCTAAAGCCTCTTGGTAATATTGGAAGACACAGAGAATCTCACATACTAGCATGCTACAAATAGGCATCTTGGGCAAAGCCTAATATCCAAGTTATCAAGATCAAGATATTAGTGTACCAAATGCCTCCACAGGCAAACTAGCAAAAGGAGGAAGGGAACAAAGACTTCCCCTTCATGATAAAGTTGTCTTCTTATTATCATCTAATATATTTCTCAGTGGCCACTTTCATATTTTTGGGCTTGTTTGATTCTTTCTATTTTATATTCTTGAAACAATTTTGTAGAGTAATTTTTTAGAACAAGTTTTGGAAACAAAGAATTTAAAGATCTGTTTGAATTATCATTTTGAAAAACATATCTAACGTGGTGAAGTGAAAGATGGAGGAATGGTTTGCCTTATTAACATAATCGCTACTATTAAAGACATAATGGTCTTTGCCTCTTCTCTTATTTTGTAGAACAAAAGGTAACAAAACATAACCAAAAAAAAAAATTTTCAAAACAAATTTTAACTTTTTATTTTCTAGAACACAACCAAAAACATGTTTTTTTTTTAATTCAAAAACATGTTTTCAAACAGGTTTCTTATTATTTTGTTCAAAATAAAAAGCTGTTCTAAAAATAGGAAATCAGGCCCTTTGTTTCTGTTTCTGTAAATAAGAGACAAATGGGGGGAGATTTCAACTTCCTAACCCAACATAACCGCAATCGACCAAAAATTTAGAAACAAAAAATAAAACAAAGATAATCAATAACGTTGCTGGAAAATGTTTAGCAAGAATCCTAGACCTACTTGCATAAGCTACATGTGCACTACACATTACAGTATTTCTAAAAACTAACTGCATTTCCTAGAACAATTGACAGTGCGCTATATAACGTCATGTAACAGAGGTTGCAGGGTGTATACGTAAAGAATAGATCACAGCTAAGTCCGAATTCTGTAGCAGTCCAAGCGTCAAACAGATGTTCCTGCCGATGCACCTTAATCTAAGAACACTTTGTTAACAAAGCAGAATCATTCTAAGAAAACAACTTGAAAATTTGACGATGTCCCACCCTCAAGTGTTTGCTGATCGGATTTGAAGTTAGAGTAATTCAGGCATACTAACTGCCACAAAACTGTTAATTCAAGTCATTCAATCTCCAAATCACATTAGATGAGAATGCTAAGGCATAAACGCGGTGCTACTATAACATAGGTCAATGGAAAAAGGGTAAAACTAGACGGAACACATGGAACTGCAATCACTCCGCAGAAACCAATGGTCAGGCATAATACGAAAGGCCGTCAAAACATTCACAATGATCAATTATTGATAAATCTTACCTGAGACGAGCTTTAGAAAGCTCCCAATAGCATCGACTATAGTGGCGAGTCAAGTCAACAATTTCCCTGGCTTTAGAAGGCGACGCTGAGATTAGAGATGTGAGATCGACTGCACCGGTGGAAGAGGAGGAAGCAGAGACAGCTGGAATGCCATCGGATTTGGTAAGTCCGAGTTTCAAGGAATTGGAATCGGGAACAGAGGACGACGAATGAAGACGATGAGAGTGAGAGAGAATACAAAGACGAAGAACACCATCAGTGCATAAAGAGGGAGGATTAAGATTCTGGGAGGAATATTGGAGAAGCTTGGAATAGAAGCGGAGAGAACTCCTCATCGCGCCGAGGAAGCGGAAGAAGATGAGGAATCGCCGACGAGGCAGGGGAGACCCAGCCTGCGAGGAAAGCTTGAAACAGTGAAAACATGAGGATAGTCTAATGTGATTTTTTTTTGTTTTTTTTTTTGGGGGAAATTAATCCAAGGGGAAATCGCATTCAAGACCTCTCCAGAGCATTTCATTTACAAAAAAATAAAAAAAATAAAAAATCAAAGGAGTTTAAATTGGGCAACACATCCAAGTCCAAAGGATTAATCACAGATAAAGATTAATAATAAAAAGATAAGTCATATTTTTATTTTAATAATAATTTATTTTATATTAATTTTTATTTGTGATTAATTCTCTTGAAAAGAGTTGGATGTAATTTTTTCTTTTAAATTCACTCGATAAGACCAAAGATCAAAGTGTAATTAAATTTTAATGTGAAAAAATAAAATTACTCTTCATTTTCTTAAAACAAATCACCCCACTAGTAGCTCTGGTGGTCAAGCCACCCTACTAGATTGGATGCAATTTTTTTTTATTGTTTTGGCAAGGGAGACAAATTTTTTTAAAAAAGTGACTAAGGGAGAATTTAAACTCACATCCTTTTAACCACCAAAATCCAAAAGGATAGTTAGCGATATATGATAGGGTTATTACACTCTTCTTAAAAAACTAGCTTGTCGAAGTGCACAACATACCTTTTTCCCTGTCTATCCAGTGGAATCACATCATTTTATCTACGGGTGGTCAAAGTATCATTACCTTCTCTCTCACATGCTAGCTCAGTGGGGTGTGCAGCACACCCACTTATATAAGCAAGACTTTTCCAAATCCCTCCAATTGTGGGACGTAATAGTTTCCCAAATCCATGACGTCCTATCATTGGTGGCCTACCAGAGGAACCCACCAACTCGACAAATTTAAGGTTGGCTCTGATATCACTTTGTCGTACGACCATTACCCTCACCCCAATATGTTAGCCTTTTGGAGAAATGATAATAGCCTTATGACAAATAGTTAGCTATTAGACTAAAAATTCCTTTCAATTATATAATACAAAGCTTTATATGTATTTTTCACTTTATTTTCGCTTCCCATGCCAATACTTATCACAAACTTAATGGTTATTTATCATTTCACAAATAGCTACTTTTTATATTAATAATAAGACTTGTTAAAAATTTAATATACATTGGATTTTATAAATGTTTACTTGTTTTTATTATCAAAAATGACAAGTCTCCATTGATAATTTAACAAGTAATTATTTATAAAATGACAAGTTCCATTACTAGTTTTGAAAATTTTTCTTGATAATTTGACAAACAAGTCTCAATTGATAATTTAATATGTAATTATTTGTGAAATGACAATTCTCATCACTATATTTGAAAATTTCTCTTAATAATTTGACAAGTAAATTTTAGCAAAATAATAAGTTCATATAAGCTTTTAACAAATAAAATTTTAATAATAAAAACAAGTAAACATTTATAAAAACTACTTTATATTAAATTTCTCTGAAAAGTTTCTATTGATAATTTAACAAGTAAACATTTGTAAGATAATAAGTCCTGTTACTGTTGTAGTAATTGTGTGTGTGTATCAGAAGAAGTCCTACATTGCCTTAATGAAGAGAGCTCATAGTGTATAAATACTAAGGAATGAAAGAAGTTAGTAAAATGGATTTGGAGGAGAAGTAAACTTATGCATACGAAACAGGCCAACTTAGGGCAATCGCGGTTAAAAATAGCCAATTCGCCCCCTGCGCGTGAGTTTAAAAGGTGTAACCTCCCTAAGATTAAATCACAAATTACTCTAAATCATGGTATTCTAGGGTTTTACTCTTAAAGGATTACCAAATTGTAAAGTTTTACAAAGAGATTTTCTCAAAATTCTTTAGATGGAATCCCAATCTCAGCAATTCAAATCTCAATATAATTTAATAAATCCAAATCAAAGTTTTGGAAAATAAAGCGGAAGCTTAAAAATCAATTAGGACCCAAATAATGAGTTTTAAAACTCAAAAATAGATTTTTGTACAGAAAATGACACATGCATCGTAGCTTACAGCTTGTGCACAGCAGCGTGTCTTCTCTGTGCCATGCGCCGCGACATGAGGCATCATGCGCCACGGCGCATTGCATGAAATTTGACATATCAGTGCTATCATATGATAGCACAGTGCATGAATTTCCGACGCGTCCCAAATCTCCGTCTAATGTTCAATTGAGGTGGTTTTGATGTCTACACAAAGCTTTCTCCTAACTCTAGCTAATGACACCAATTTCACATTCAAACTCATTTTCGATAAAAAGTTGGGCACTAAAACCCATTTTGACCATTTTTTTTACAAAATCTCATAAATGGAGTGTCCCAACTCAATCACATGTGCCAATAGCTTACACCAACTATCCGACCACACTTAATAGACTCTTGCAGACTTGTGCAACGCATTACACACAATCAAAAACACTTATATCATAAAATCACCACTCAACCCCGATTTCCAAAAAAACATACAGGGGGAGGAAATATTGCATAAAATCAACTATTTCATTCCAATTTTTTCAAAATACATATGTTTCTATTTGCCCAAGTATTTTAGCCCTATCCATAGGTTCACAACCAAAACTCACTAACCTAGGGTATAAAATACACTAGTTATACACAAAATCATGCAAGTAGTGGATAAATCATGTCAATTAATCCTAGTTGAAAATTACATTAACAAATACACATGAAAATAATAAAAGAAAGGCATATAGAGAATTACTCCACAAATCTTAAGCCTCTGTATGTTTTTTTCGACTCAAATCCGATGAGTTAGGTCTTAAAAATATTGAGAATTAATGGGTGAGTACAACCACTCAGTAGCCAAATTTCACTTAACCTATACAGTTGCATAATAATTGTAAATAGATGTAATTAGATAAATAAGCATACATATCACATAACACTCAGCCATAGTTTACAAAACTAACAACCATATGATCGGGCTTGCCATAAAATAACTTATCATATTATTTAGCAAAAACATAACACATGGTCACAAAAATAACAACTATGCGCCTTCAACACATGTCGGACCATAAAACTAACAATCATGTGACCAGACTTAGAATGCATGATTAGATACCAACCTTACATCCTCTTGTTACCTCTGACACGAAACCGATGGCTATCATGTGGCTACATCCTTCTCGAACTAACCCTTGCCTTTCACTTGTGAGGAGCTACCAGGCTAAGGTTAACTCACTCACTTATGTAATTTAGTTTTCCCTAATACTAACAACCATGGTGTGTCGTACCCCTAGTCTAGCCTCCTCATGAACCGGTGGAGACTAGTTAGGTTCAAGTCCCTCATAAAACAAGTAGGACAATCTTGAAACAACCATGGGATAAGGGCTACCTCTCGATTCCAACGGTTATTGCCAAGGCTAGTTCTTGATTCTAACTGTTATTGTCAATACCACATGAATTTCAACCAATCTACTCTTCTTCTTAGGCGAACTCCAACCAATAATTATGTAATGCACATGTTTCACATATTATGCATTTTTAACAATCAATTCTTATCACATGAATTCACATAATTCAAATGCTCCACAATTCAACATATTATATATTATAAATCTCCACTATTGTAACAACATGCCATAAGCAAACTTTTAAATCACAAGTAAGTGGCATAAATCAACATTTTCTTTCCTAAAATCATTTCACAAGTCAAACATTGCCAATATGCATCATACATTCAAATCATTCATCATATTTCACAAAACACAATTAATATTCAACCATAAAAGTTAAGTTTTTCTCGGTTATCTCAAACTTTTAAGAGGTTAAAGGTTTATTCCTCACTATACCAACTTTTCAAAGTTTCAACAAGCTCGAATGGTGTAACATCCTAATTTTTATATAATAAAGAAATTGTGGAATTTAGGTTTTGAAAAAAAAAATAATAATAGGAATTTATATTATTTAAGGTTATTTAGAAATAATATTATGGTTAGGTATTTAATTATGAATTTAAAAATTTACATTTAAAACCACATAAGCAATATTTAGTTAAGATATAATACATAAATAATTTTTTTTATGTGTGTGTTAAAAAAAAGAGAAGGTAGAAGGAACAAAAAAAAAAAGGGAGGGGAGGAAGGTTATTGTTTCTAAGTCCCACATTGGTTAGATAAGGAAAGAGAAGAGATACCTTCATGTATAAAAAGGAGGAGGTGTGTGCATTAGGAAGCATGAGAGGCTAAGATGCAATTTAGAGAAAATTGCAACTTATGGCTCAAAGGTTTGAATAATTAAATTCAGACCTATAGTTTTTTTTAATATAATTTTGGCACTCATAATCCTATTTTTATATTATTTTTCTCTCTTTCTCTCACGTTGCTCGGCGTTTTCTTGCAAGGGGGGATTATTTTCTTTTTCTTCAGGTATGTTCTAACTTTCCTGTTTAGATTAGCATTTAAAAATTTATTTAATTATAAAATTAATTTTATAGTTATTTTCTAAATAATATTAGCTTTCTAGTAATATGATTATTTTGTAGGATAAAGTAAATATTTTGATTAAAATTTTTCTATAGGATAGTTAATCTAATGATATGATGTATTAAAAATATAGGTTAAAACTCTTAGAGATATAATAAATATTATAGAATATTTTCTTGAGATTGAAACTCATGTTTAAGAATTTTTGAGTTAAAATCTAGATCTATATGATCGAATTTATGTGGAATCTGAGATGTAGGGATGAACATCTGATTATTAAATATTTATTTAAGTATGAATAGGTATTTTTGAGGTTATAGAAAGGTGATTTGAGGCTTCAGGATAATTCTAAAATTTTTAATTTATTTTTGGGTGAATTTTTAGAATATAAAAGGATGAAATTGTGATACTAGAAATAATTTGAGGCTTAAAAATAGTTTATTAGGGTACGAGAATTTTAGAAAAGAATTTGAAAAGTTAAATGAGGCATAAATCTTAAATTAGTGTTAATATAGATTATAGATCTAAGACTTTCTAACTCTTTAAATTAGAGTTATGTATTTTAATGTAAAATTAATACATAGTATTATGAAATAA